TTGTCCAAGCAGGTCTGAGCCTGCTACTTGCTGGGAAGAAACTATGTCGCCTTTGCTGGTGGTGAGAGGGGCACTTCCCCAGCCAAGGAGACGGGAGGGGTATTGAAGAACTCTGAGTCAGCAGAAGAGTTTGAGATTCGTAACCCAGATTTCAGAATCATTATTAAGAATGACCATCCTGGAGACTGCCAGCTAAGTTGGTCTTAAAAAGTGTAAATTTAGTTATCAGGCAAGCTACACTAAGGATTCAAAAACCATGCAAATTAAAAGTAAATTACTAGAATATTTCCTTAACTGAAATCCTGAGAAGGAAAGGGAAATGTGATAACCCAGATCAAGCAGATATGGCAGAGTAAGGCATCCCTGCAAAATGCACATACTTGAGAGTACGCAAGCACTTCTGTTTCTGCAGCTTAGGACACTGTAATCAGAACCACAGGCCAGGGCTCAAATGCCAATCTAACATTTGAAACCAAGGCCTCCGATCTTATTTTCCAGGACTTCAGACCCAGCTGCACAAGGCACAATTTTCTGTTATACCTCTCTCACAGAAAGAGCCCTCTTGAAACTGCAAAAGATATCTATTGTATAGTAGGATTGAAAGATAAGGTGATATAACCTTAAAAACAGCAGGAAGATGTGTGCAGAATCCCTAAGACGCTCAGTTCAGTACAATACATTCTGCATGCTACAGTTCAAGCAAATTAGCTAGCGAGTACGTGCATGCCATTGGCAAGTGCTTCCTTAAAATCGCTTAGCATTATTCAAAAACCCCCAGTTACAGTTCAACTGCTAAATAATTCATCGTCTAAAGGTACGTCAACACGTTTGCAATGTAAAGCACAAGCAGATCCAAAGAATTCAGAGGACGGCAACCAACCTCCAGTGTTGGACCCCAGGACACAACCATAAGCTGCAGGACGTTTGCAAGGAATTCCAAAGCTGGGAAATGCACAACGTGATGCAGTACAGAAATCCAGAGGATTGAGTTTAACTCTAATCCAAAAGGAGCCTGAAATCTGGCCTTAAAACCCCTTGGAGCCAACAGCCCCCAAAACACATAATGCAGCTGGAGAAGCAGCGTATTTTGATGTACGCTTCCAATATCTAATAACCCAAGGAGCTCAAATGAAGTCAATTCTCAGACGGATGACATTGTAATAAAAAGTGGAATTGGCTACCGTATTCCAAGAAGTTTTAAGCATGTATTTGTTCGCTTAAGAGCTTCATTAAATTGAAATCTGGAAAGTGAGTGGTTTTGGATCCTCCACAGTATCTGATGCAGTTCAGCTACAGTCAGCATTTCATGGGTTGTCCTCGAGCCCTTCTCGAGTGAACGGCCAGGACTGCGCATGTACCTTCCCCACACAATCTGACTCAGGAGTGTCACCCCAACATATTCACATTGCTTTTATTTAGGTCTTCTGCCAACAGTTACAGGGTAACAGACACTTGGGACTGCAAAGTCAAAGTTGCAAGCAAAAATCAGGACCAAGGCAAAAAAAAAAAAAAAAAAAATCCACAAAGGCAATCAAATGAAATATAAATACAATGTTCTGGAGCTCTTTAATGATACCGTTTTTCTTAATAAAGAGGTGGTTATGATCTTACAGTATTTTTCTTTTGGCCTAATCCAAGGATTTTGTTACGCTTTACCAGTCTTAATTCCACGCATACAAAAAAAAAATTGATATTCAACCTTTAAAATATAAGCCATATTTTCTTAATAAAATAAGTTTTGTGCTGCTGCTTGTTTAGTAAGTACTGTACATCAACTGTTCACGTCTATTTAACAAATGGACCATACAGAATTCAAGCTAAAGCAAAAAAAAAAACCCCACAAGAAAAATAACAACCCAAACAGGGTGTCTTGTAAACACCCTATGTACAGTTCAACACTTGCTTGTATAAAGGAGGTACGAAAGGGGCTAGAAATTGAACACAAAAGCACTGGAGTCCCGTACATTTTCTTTCACAACTATTGAAGTGCAAATCACTCAGGCAAGATACGAATTTCACTTGTTTATTGCTGTCCTGCTGTCTGGCTTCCCTTCCTGAAATAATCACATTCTTTTACTTCACACTAATTTTCCAAGAAGAAAACCTTCCACGAGGCAACGTTGAATGCTCAGGCTTTTTGACACTAGACATCAGTTCGTACGCTTGCGAATACCAGAACACCCCAATTGCCCCTGGAAGCTCTGGGGAGAGGGCTGCTTTGCCCTCTCGCCCCCCGTTATGTTCAGATATGAGATAAGGGAAACAAACAGCATTCAACAACTGACAGGTAAATGAAAGTTACTCCTCTTCCCACAAAACTGCATGCACCTCGCGATGTTTCCAGTTGCAGAAGGAACACGTGCGCATGGAGAAGGCAGAGACTCGGGAGCCATTCGGGATGTCCGTGTGGGGTTTGTGGCTAACTACGAATCCCGATACGTATCTGGGTTAACACCTATCCGCTATGGGTAGCAAAATGCACAGCACCTCAACATGCAGTTATTCGTTTGCATCTCGGACAAGAACAGGGTAGAAATGCTGAATACTGGAGCCGCATAGAAGGTACAGTGCATAGTCCATTATACAAAACATGCGGGTAACTGAAACCCCTTCTAAATTTCTTCAGAATGGAAAGAGGGTTTAAAGGGCACAGCAGCTACTGAGTTTGGCTTTTTTATTTATTCAAAACCATGAAAACCCAACGCAGAGGGTGAAATAAGGGCAGGACACGATCTGCAAGTCAACAGCTGAGAGTTTCAGAAGCTGTGAAGCTTTTGTGTAGTTAAAATTGCTGTTAAAAGTAGGTGCTACATCAGCAAGTCTTCATTCATAGTTTTCTATGAACAGCCACCTTACAAATGAGTGCAAATCTTAAAGGTCCATTTTACATTTCAAGTCTCAAGGTTAAAAAAAATTGTTACAGAGCAACGAGCTGTTTCTGTAAATGCCCACACTATCTCTTTTCAAATGGTTAAAAATGGCACATGCTATGCCACAGCTACTAAAAGACATTTCAGAATTCTAGACCCAACTAAAAACACTAAATAAAAACTAGAAACCAAAATACCTTTCCCCCTCGCTGCAGAACAGCAACCAGGTGCTTTCCGTTGTAATGCTGGTGAACAAACTGATTTGCAGAGAGAACCTTGACCTTAACCCCAATTTTTTTCTTAATGAGAGGCTTTCTAACACAAGGTGAGCGGGTACAGCCCCTCTGAGATAATTTTGCTTTCAATGAACACAAGCCAGAGTTCTGAGGATGAGATGGAGAGGTGCTGAATTTGTGTCACTATGCAGGCACTTGTGTATAGGAATGTAGGCTTCTCACGTTGACACTTAGTGTTGATGCATTCCCTACTCTCTAAAAGCCTTCCTAAGAGTTCACTACCCTACTGACCATGAATAGTTCCCGGTCTCCTCCCTGTCACCTTGCAGATATACAGCAGTGGAGGTTAACACAAGGTGCAAAGGAGAACATGAACCAAATACTGTAGTCTTGAGGAAAAACAGGACTGCGCTAAATGTAGGATCTTCACAAAACATGACATCAGTGGGCTCAGCACTTAGTTTGCATAGCATATTGATGTCTTCATTTTTCACAAACATGTTGCCCAAAAAGAAAACTGGTAGAGTGAATTCCTGGTGTTAGGACAGATCAATGGGCCAACACGACCACTGTGAAGGCAAGGCAAGTTTAAACATCAGAAAGTACAAAACAAAACGGTGTGCTTCTGTCCACACGTACTGACAAGGGGCAGTGCTTGTGGTGGGTCTGCCTTGGAAACACGTTCACGCTTGGCAGAAAAATTACAACAGAGCTCTTCCCTTTAAGAGCTTGGTAGGAGTGTGTGCGTCATTTTTTCTCTTGAAGGAAGTGCTGTGCACACTTTTGTATAAAAAACCCCAGATATCTGCCCACATGATATTGGTAATGAGTTACTGCTACTGCACCGCTGTGCATAACTGTTATTCTGTGCAGCAAAATGAGTGTGAAAAGCAGTCACTAAGTTACTGTTGGGAAAAAGGCTTTTTTTCCTGTTACAAACAAAAATCAGGAGGAGTTTCCCCCATGATAATAACAATTTCATCATTCTGACTAAGGAACAAACCTGGTGTGCTTTCAGAATAAAGAACCCTGTGCATGAGATCAGTGATACCATGACACAAAGAGCAGCAAAACCTAGCAGCAGAGAGCGTGACAGTTTTGGAGGTGCTGGGGTTGGGGTACGCGGTACTCCAGAAAGCAGCTGACCCAGGCAGACACGTGCCGAATGCACACGGGAAGACGGGCGCTGAGGAGTACCCGGCGCTGCACGGACTGCAGTTGGTAACACTCATCGGACAGGAAACATAGAAATCTCTGGCGTGAGTGCACAGCCTCAGGAAGTGCGGTGATGTAAACTCTGAGAATGTTAATGACTTGTGTATTTTGGCAACAGACTCAGTATCGTATAAAAATAATGTTTAGTAAAAAAATCCCGGTGTCCATCATAAAAATTCAGGAAAAAAAAAAAAAGAAAAAATTGATAGCGATTTCTGTCCTCATGGGATGAAGATGCCCCCATTTGTCAGAAACAGTTTTAAATAACAAGTAGTACATTGGAAACAAAAATGGGTCAGCAGCTATTAAATGTGTCCTATATGAAAGTGCACATCTTTCAATGGAGTTTAACCACCATGAGGTCATGATCTAACACAAACTGCAACTTAGGACCATAGAAATTAACTCCTTCTGATGGAAATATGGACCACCATCAAGACAAGATTACTATTTTCCTTACAAGATTAAAAACATTGAAATTTTGCAGCATCATAGTAAGGCACTCACCCATGGAAAAGTCTGTGACTGTTGCTTCAAATGGCAGCAGCTAACTAGCTTTTAACACAAGGAAGACAGTTTTCAGTTCTGAGCTAAGTGCTAGGGTGCCTTACATTATATGGGGGGAATTATTCAGGGGCGGGGAACTGTTAGTGTTAGAATTCTCCTATAAACTAGTTGGTTTTCCCCTTAACCCATTAAAGCATCTCATATTCTAAAATATTAGTTTTATAAATCTAGTCTTCTGTTTTAAGGCTCTAAAAATCCCCACCCCCCAACCCCCACAAAAAATACCTACCAGCGCCTGGTGGGCAACGGAGGACCAAATCCGCCATTTCACAGTCAGGAGTCTATAGTATTGCATCTTAAAATGAAAACCTGCTTCCACCTCCTGAGAGTTTTATCCCTTCCTTGAATGCCTTCATGTGTTTGGTCAGGTCAAAATTTTGCAAAGCCAGAAAAATTAAAAAAATAATCATCAGTCTCTTCCAATCCTACAAAAGTGTTGGATCTTTCTGTCCCGTGGTGCTGGTCTCCTGCCTCGAATCGACGCTGCCTGCCCTGCAGTGATTTCTCATTGGAAAAAAACCAAGGTGTCCCAATGCTTCCTTTTTTGTATGGCTCCTACAAATCTGAAAGCTTTCTTGAGTGAGGTAACAAAAGTTAGGCTTTCAAGCAAAGTACATGGTACGTAAAGTGTCCTGATGAACCTGCACAGCTTTCGCCAAGGCCTGGGGGTCTCTGCCGTTGCTCTGTCCAGATATATGGCTGCCCTCGCCACTGAAAATCAAGGAAATGACTGCATAATTATTTCATACTTCCCCCCCAGGAACACTGTGAAACCCTCTTGGAGATCAGGGTCTGCGAGCGCTGGCGGCACAGGGAGGCATCTCACCACAGCGTATAGGGATGCTGCACATGCCAGTGACGGTGCCTGGCACTGCAGAGATTCCACCACTGCCACAAACAGCGCTCAAAACACCCCAGGGATGCTCCTCCAGGCCTGCGATGAGCTCAGGATGGGATTTAACTCTCCCTTATCCCTGTTCCCCTAGGCTGGGGCCTAACAAGGATGCAGCTGCATGCAGGTCTCCCCCGAGAAAGGGTCTGCTGCAGCACTGCCTGACACAGGCACTCTCAAACACCAAGGCAGGGCATTCATGCCCCCTGCCCATCCCTGGGGTCTGCCCTCCTGGGGCCATGGGCAGAGCCCCCTCACCTGTCGTGCTCCTTGTCCACAAGATGGTACCGCGCTCTGAACGCCACCAGTCGGGCGTAGTACGCCGGGGCCGGGATGGAGACCGAGCGGGTGCAGCGCACGTAAGTATGGCACAGCTGGTACGTGAGGATCTGCAGCTCATCCGCGGTGAACCGGTTGTCATCCCAGAGTACATAGTAATGGGATGGCCGGCTTGTACCCTGGGAAGGAGAGGGGGCAGCGTGAGAGGTGCCGCCTGCATCTGGGTGCCTCACATCCTCATCACCCCCTCCCTGATCGAAGCAGCCCAGCAGAAGCCTGGGCAGAGAGATGCCCATGCTTCCTTAATTTGAGAACCCCACACGTGCACAGGCACCACAAGGCAGGAAAGCCCTTAGCACCATGGTGCAAACCATTAACACAGCTGCCCCGTGCCCAGGCACTGCTGGTGCTTCTGCGCTGCCACCCCCAGCTCCCGGTGCCACACAGCCCACTGCATCGCGTATCGCACCGGCTCCCCACTGTCCTTGCAGGGGGAGAGGAAGCCAAAAAACCTCCCTTGTGGAAGCAGCTGTAGATTAAATGAATGCAATTTTTTCAGTATGGTTTCTGACTAATCTTGGCTGCCTGAACAAAGGCAGCTGCAAAGCAAGCTGCCTGCTCCAGGGATGGCTGGCCCCAGCTCTCCCGCCCACAGCTAGACAACAGGTCCCTGCTGACAACCAGGCGCCCCAGCGAGCCCAGCATGCTCAGACACCAGCTGACAAGCTGCTGAATTGGCCGCTCTGAAGGAAGAAAATCTCAGAGGAGAGATCCTTGGCTCCAGGAGAGAAACCAAGTACGTGCCACATAACGCAGCAGCGGTGCCGTCTCTGCACCTGCTCCCTCGCCAAACCACCGCAACTGCAGCTTGGACCAAACTGCCTGCGTCTCCGGTGCTGGAGGAAGGCTATGACGGGGCCAGGTCAGATGCACGCGAATGCAATCTGCAACAACAGCCGAAGAAAACCAGCAGCATCACAACAGCCAGCTCCGCAGCACGGTACCTGAATGCCTGCATGACTGCACAGGTAGAAGTCGAACTCAAAGGGGTGGGTGATATTTGTATCCACTGTTGTTCCTGCAGGGATGTTCCCACTCTTCCCAATCTACAGGGAATAGAAAGAGAGATCCAAGCACTGCAGAGTTTGGTTATTTCCAGCTGCCGAGAGCACTGTCTGTAACACATCTGCCCTGCACCAGGGCCATGGCACAGGGTCCCCATCTCAGCATCTTAGTTTGAGAGCACTGTGCAGAGCTGCTCCCCAAGAGCCCGTTAAGAGGGGACAGAAGCAGCTCATCCTGCTCTGCTCCCTGCCCGAACAGGCTTGCTGGCATTTTCTGCAAACATCAGCACCAGGCATGACATGGAGATACAGCAAACAGCATCAGAAGGAAAGCAGGCAGGGTGAGGGCTGGGCACTGGCCCATCCTACTGCAGAAATTAGGATTAAGTGAGCAAAACTCCAGGGAACTCTGCAGAGAGTGTACACTAGAGTCTCTGCCACGAGGTGCTGGGGCTTTTGCACCCTGATCAAAAACCATCCTCAGTTCCCAAGATTAAATCTTCATGCTCAGGTAAAGCCAGAGTCTAGTTAGACTAGATCTAACCACTGAATTTAGATCAAATCTAGGAAAAGCTACAGCAATCAATGTTACTGCACAGCACACATGAACAAGCTGTGAGCAAGCAAGGGGTTATTCATCCTGTCACGTCAGCAGCTACAGCTATCACCAAAACAACAGATGTTTTCAAGCTGACAAAGGCTATTTCAAGAGAGTCACCAGGATCATCAGCACCCAGTAACTCATAATAACAGCAAACAGCTGTCTGGGTTTCTAGAAGCAGCCTAATCCACATGGATGTGGGAGTCAACCGAGCAGCACGTTTCATTCAAGAAAGAGCTCTCTGCCTGCCAGCGCTGAGCTTTCCCCTCGGCAAAGTCAGGGCTGGCTCCTTCTAAAGGCTGGGGATGAATCAGCCACCTCCGGCCCCGGCACACCGCGGTGCTCACCCTCTCGTTCTTGTCTGCACAGAAGAGGCGGGTGTGATGCCTTTTCTGGACGACGATGTAGGTGATGCCAGGCTGGTAATCCTTTTCCAGTTTGATGCAGGCATCTCGGATTGCTAGGAGCTCATAGTGAAGGATCTGGAGAGACAAGCGCATGCAGAGTGAGGGGACATGCTGGCACACAGCCGTCCCTGTGCACCCTTAGGGAACCCTGCAGGAGCCGGTGCAGTCCTGCTGGCTGACAGGCGTCTGAGCAGTCCTCACCTGTGGGAGCTGCCCCTCGGGGACGCCGTCACGGTAGAAGATGATCCTGGTGGGTTTGAAGCGGGTGGATTTGTAGAACTGGATAAGGAGCTCCCTCACCATGTAGGACAAGTCTTCGATGATTTCCTGGCGAGGACGCTGCACACGCACTGTGGCACAGTACCGGCTGGGGTGGGCGTCCATGCTGCCCACAACCTGCAGCGACAGAGATGGGCCAGGCCCATGTGTTACAATGGGAAGGACAGAGGGGACATGAGACATTCCCGGCCTCCGCCTGCTTCCGACACCCACAGCTGGCAGTGGGCAGAGCACCTGGGCTCACAGATCAGGAGATGGGACAGCAAACACTGTGCAGGCAACAAGTGCCCAAAAAGGACATCCCACGTCGTGGCCACGTCCTGGTTTCACATTCTGCCATGCCCTTTGTGGTGTTTACAGGAACTTCCAGCGCGACAACCTGGCTGGTGCCACTGAGCGACATGGCTGTGGCGATTGATCCTGCTCTGCCCCCGCTTCACTCCTCCTGCTCAACAGCAGAGGGGCAAGCGGGGCTGGCCCCT